CTGTGAAACCAGAGCTCTGCCCGGTTGCACTCCAATTATACATTTTTTTGCCCGAAAAGCTTAGTCTAAAAATAGGTAATGAAGAACGGGAGAAGAGACGTGCCATCCCCAGGAGGGCAGAGGGGAACTTTCCCAAAACCCCATGCCATCAGCAGTGGAGCCAGGAACCAGACTCCAATCTCTCTCTGCTTGAAGTGCTCAGCATTTGCCTTTGCACTTTGGTTTGCATTGGTTCTTCTTGCAAGTATGTACTTGATGCAAAGCAGGTCCTGTGTCTCAGCAGGGCTAATAGATAGTATTTACTAACTGTGTTCTAATTATAAATGCTTGCCAGATGGCAAACAAAGGAAAGAAACTCTCAGAAGGGTGCACAGGGTGCTCAGGACACACTGCTGATCTGCTTCTGGGAGGCAGATAGACCCAAATCCTGAAAAGGCATCGATGTCACCTGTGTGATGGCTCCACTGACAATGACACAAATGCATTAATGCAGAATATTTACTCCTGGAGTTCAGGTGATTTGTGGGACCAAGTAAATGAATGGAGCCATTGCAGAGGGGTGGCTGGACACCGGTGCAGGACACAGGGAGGAATCTCTCCCTTCCATCAAAGGTGCTGACAAGTGCCAACCGGAGAGCAGGGAGAGGGAGCAGAGTAACCTGGAAACACAGTGGATGAGAAAAGATTACACAATTTTGGTGTTTAATCCGGAACAGAGAAGATGACAGGAAAGGCTTTTGGTTGGCATTTCTGAGGCAACAGCATTTCTTTTCTTAGAGACTGTTTGAGGTCCCTCCAAAAAGAGCATGAGTAAGATTTTGCTTTTCCTGGCAGCTTTGGAAAGGCTGCAGCTGCATTTTCCCCTCTCTGCATGGGGGTCATGGTGTCCGCTTGCAGGTGGCTTCTGTCTGGAGCAGCCACTCCTGCCCATCCATGCAGGGCTGGACTGGGGACCACGGCTGCAGCAGGAGGGGACAGCAATGGGGAGAGGGACAGAGGGGCTCCAGGAAGGCTGGGCTGGAGGAGCCCAGCACCGGAGGGTGACTCATGGAGAGCTGGACGCTGCTTGGGTTCATGCTGGGACAGCAACAAACCTCTGCCTTTCGTCCTTGCTGATGGAGCCTCCCAGCACAGAACCATCAGCTCGTGTAAATCTTCCTTCCCCCTTGATACGAAGGCAGCCCTCGTGCCCAGATAGCCCCTATTCCCTCTCCTCATCACTCTGGTTGCAGATTTTTGAATTTTAAAAAAAACATAAAATCCTGCTGCGGTCTGTTTTAATCACCAGCTAGTTTTTTTTTAACACCACCTATATAAAAACATTCCCAACGTAAGTCATCTGCAAATAATTTGAGTTCTCCCTTTTATAACTCAGGTCCACCTACAGCTTTAACAGTTATATTCCTTCTTATTTAATTCTGCAGAGATGTGCAAAACCCCTTTTTCATCATGACAGCTGTCTCCTGCCTCTGATCCAGGGCTCTGAGTTATGGGAGACGGGCAGTGGTACAGTGGGTGCAGGGACACATCAGCACCCGGAGCAGAGATGGGAGACCTTTCTGGGGACATCGGCTGAGACTGGGTTTTGAAAAAGCAGAGATGTTCCCAAGGTGTTCTCACATCTCATCCCTCCTCATGTAAGGCAGAGACTGTTTAAAAAAAAATAAAATACAGCATGACATGTGTGCATGTGCCCCCGGGGACCGGTGAGGTGTGGAAGTGCTGGGTCTGGGGCAGGGCAAGGGGCAGAGCAGGAGGACTGCAGGGGAGGAATATTTAAAGCACCGTGTTTTGACCTGTAGTGGCAAAGGGCACTGCGAGAGGACAAAACACATCTTTCCCCTCCTGATGTTCTCAGGACAATCAAAAGTGTTGCTTTTCTTTTTCAGTCTTAGTGCAGGAATGATGCTGGATCTTGCACTACGTAGGATATTCATCTCTTTTAACGTCCTCTTTTACAATTACATTTTTTCTCTTTTGCAAAACAAAAAAAAATTTAAAAAAGAAAGGAGAAAACCCCCAAAACCCAAATTCAGAGCCCAAACCTGGTTTTATATAAAGCTGCCAATGTGCTTTTTTCCAAGGGCTGGAAATGACCTAGTGTGCAATTTCAGCTAAGAAAGTGAGGGCACTAAAATCAAAGACCACCATGTGTTCCTCTGCAGATGGGCCAGCCAAAGCAGGACAGGGCTGGACAGCTTCTCTGAAGATGCCCTCTGCTCAGCCTCCTTTGGAGACGGTGTCCACACCTCCCATCCCTCCCAGACCCTCATGACACCCTGGCTGTAATTCCTGCAATTAGCCAGTGGAGTCAGTAATTCAGTCCCAATTAATGTGAAACAGTGGCAACTTGATCTCCAGCCATTTCTGAGTGTCATGGAAAAAGTGCAAAACACACCACCAGCAAACAGGTAGTGATGGGAGAAAACTGTCTGCAGACACATGGTGAGGAAGGTTCACCCCTCCTCTTCCTTTTCCCATCATAGGATGCTAGTACTCATGGTATCCCTCCATGGATGCTTCAGCATAAGGCATTATCCCCTGACCCTGCAAAGCAGTGAGGGAAACCAGCATACTCCAGCTGCACATCACCTTCCTGAGATTGGCCCCAAATCTGCTCACACAGAAGCAAAGAGCCACCAGTTTGTTCTTGAGCAGGGAGGTGCATGGGACAGTGCTGGTGACATCTTCCCTTGGTGCTGGCCTGTCCCCAGGCACCCAGACACACACCTGTACCTTCCTCCAGTGTCACTGCAGGAGCAGTTGCCATTTCTGCACCCCTTCAAAATGCTTTTGCCACCTTTGCAGCTCGTGCACAAAATCCAGAGCTTCGATTGTGCATTTGGTCTGATTTTTTTCTCCTTTCTCCTGCCGAAAAAGATGCTGAAGTCTCCCAAATAAAAATTATTTCCATGTGATGCAGCACTTTCTCTCTTGGCTGGAACACTGGATGTGGTTTTGGGTCTGTGGTTTTTTTGATACATTTTTTTTTATTATTCACAAATTTTTTTGGTCTTCATTTCCATCATTGTGAGAGGCACCGTGCAACCCGACGGACTGGCTGCAAGTCCTAAGGAAACTATAGCAAGGACAAAAGCACAGGAACCCAGCACGAGTTGATGCAAGCAAAGAAACAAGAAAAAAACTTTGCTTTTGCAAACAACCTAGCTGCTGGGTTTCATAAGGAGCCGGACTGACTTTTCAGTGTTTCATTTGGACTCCAGCTAGGAAGCTGCAGCCGCCACTAGAGAACTTAAAAACCTGAATGAACGGCAGCTTTCATATTATGCATCCTGCTAAGCCACAGCAAGGAAAGTAAGAGACAGGGGGTTCTGACTCACAAGGTAAGTTAAATGGATCTCGATAAGTTGGGGGAAAAAAAAATACTATAGGGAACAAAGTGTTCCCACCCTGCAGAAGCAGGTTGCTCGGGTGAGTCATAAAAAGAGGTGGTCTCTGCTTCATCTCGCTTTTTTCCACTTCACTGCAGCAGGTGAAATAAGTGCAAGGCCAGGTTATTGCTGAGCTGGCTTTAATTTCTTCCTACTAACACTCCTTATTTCATAAAACCACCCTTAGCACTCCAGAATGATGCTTGCTCCCAGTCTGGCTTTGCTCTCAGCTGAGCGGTGGGATGGGGAGGGTGCCCCATCCCGTGCGGCTCCGATCTGATGCAGGCTCTGCCCCAGCCCGGGGCAGGAAAGAGCCTTTTCCTGGCGTCCTCTGTGGACGTGGAAACTTTCAGGGGACTCTGCTTTGCCAACCTCGCCGGGGAACTGCAGCCATTTGAACTGTGCTGCTTGTTCCTGAGCTGTGAGCAGGGGTTTGCCAGGACGGGACGGTCCTGTGGCTGCCAGCATCCGTGTCCTGGTGCTCCCACCCACCCAGGAGGGACAGGATCCGCCACGGGGACACCTCTGCCTGCTTTATTTTGGCACACAGAAAGCTGAGCTCCCCAGAGTGGCTGAGTCAGTGATGGCAAGTTATGGAGAAGCTGTCTCTCTTCTGGGGAGGGGGAAGGAGGGCTGGGTGCCGTCCGCTTCGTCAGGGTGATTTGCTCTACCAGAGGAGCTGCCCTGGGAATGACTTACCGTAACTCGCCCTGTGCCTCAGCAGCCCCAGGCTGAATCACCGTCTGGCTTGCTATGGAGATGGGACCGCTTTCAAGGAGCCGCCTCGCCCAGAGAAGGGCCATTTCCAGGACATTCCTGGTGCCGGAGGTGCAGGCAGGGACAAGGAGAAATAAGGAGTTATTTGTTTAGGGACTGGCAAACGTCGTTTTGCTGGTCTGTGCTGAGGTAAGTGTGATAACAGCCCCTGTCACAGCCCAGGGAAGGCAGTGCCATGCCAAAATGCAGGTGTGTTTCCACACAGGAACAGCCTCTCCTCCCACAGTACCCGCAGGGGATGGTGTTAAATCCATACAATCCCCCAGGGTGAAGCGTGTGCAGGCAAGAGGAAGGGATGTTTGCTTGGGATCCTTGTCTCTTCCCACACCTGATTGGGGAAATCACAGCTGGAGGGAGCGCGCGGTGAGAGACCATATGAACCACTGCTGCTCAGGGGCACAAACTAGTGAGTGTGAAGGTGTTTCACAGCTCCTCCCAGGACAGAGGGATTAGGGCAACTTGCAGAAATAGGCACACACTAAAAAAGTGCCCCAAAACAAAAAACAAACCATATAATTAGAAACAGAGCTACCAACTCACTGACCAAGCGTTCAGCCAGACCATTACAAATATGGATGCAGTAACATCCCTGGACCTCTCCGTGGCCAGATCCTGGCTTTGCCTCTCTTCCTGCCCTACTCACAACTCAGAGGGCTGGAACCCACCCAGCTGTCCCCAGCAGCACTCCCGGTCCTTCTTCTGCTTCACCCCAGCGCGTTGCATAAACACTGCGGACAAGAGGGCGTTAACGCCGGTCAACTGCAAACCACTACAGACAGCGGAAATTTTATAAGCCACATTGCTTTTCGGCTTCCAAATATTCTTGTCTGCAAGCCCTCAAGTCACTTCATGGCTGCAGATGGGCTCCTGATGCTCAGTTTGAGCAAAGCATCTCTGCAGCGACGAGTTGGAGAGGAGCTGCCCCACGCTCGGCTGTGGCACCGCAGGCAGAGGAACTGCTGAGCTGTGGCAGCTTTGCCTTGGAAAACGCACAAGCTCCTTGAGTGTTTTGGGCTTTTCTACAGTAAGTTGCTCATGGAGAAATTTTAGATCCTCCTGGGGAAGAGAATAAAAAAAAAAACCCGAACGAATCATTTCCAAGAGGAAGTCCAGTGTCCAGACAAACCCGGCTCTAACGATGCTTCGTTTCCTGCTGCTGGCGGTGCAAGGAGGTCTGGAGCAGTGAGGAGGTCGAGGCTTGAAAGAAGACAAAAGGTAAAAAAGCAGAACTGGAATATTTTCCATCTCTGGAGTGATGCCGAGATTGGAGGCTGACATATCCATGTGTTTTCCATCTCTGCGGCACAAGAAAGGTTTTAGTCTTAACTGCTCTCTTGGGCTTTCAGTTAAGATTTGTCACTAATTAAAATGAGCAGTGGCTGGTGTTGTCCTGTGCGCCGTGAATTTGAAGCAAGGATAGTCATAAATTGCTTTTCCGAGTGAATCCTTGGGAATAGTGGGAAGGAAAATGCAAGCAAAAGTTTAAAGTGCAGCTCAGGGATCCAAGAGCAATTTCTGCCTCGTGAACTCTCAATATCGCAACAGCACGGTTATTAGTGGGATTTATTCTTCGAGCATCCCTGCAAGGTAAGGACATACTTTCACTTAACCCAGTGAAAACCCAGCCTGTAGTAGGTTATGGGAGATTTGTACCTTTGCCTTCATCTGTACATCCCATAGGGGCTGCTTGCAGCGCTAATGACCAGACAAGGTTTGGCCAAGATTAGGCTCCAGGTTGCAAACTCCATATTGCTAACCACAGGGAAAACATTTTGGTCCAGCCTCCAGGCTGATTTGCTTTACATTCTTGCTTTATCTTCTCTGCATGCAGAGCAAAGAAGCTATTTTTGCAGACACTATGGGCATTTCTTATCGTTTCAATTGCCCAGATGCGTTACTTTACATCAAAGCGTTAAAATTCTTCAGGTACACAGAATCATTAAAAAACTTTGCATGAGCCTCATACATAAGCTGTCTACCTTGAGCTATAAGATTAAACTCAATCATGAACCAAAAAAATCAATCAAGGTGCTCTCTTCAGCTGTAATAGCATCAAGAAAATATATTTAAATAACAAGTTGCACACAAGAAGAAAGAATCACATCATTTAACTCCCTGAACTGGAACTAATGGCTTCTGCCCTTCCCTAGCAAAGGTGTGTGGCATCTCTAAAGCCCAGGGATTTGGCTTTTTTTTTTTGCTAGCAGACATGGGGAATGCCAGGTGTCATTGGAAAACCAGCATTTTTGATGCAGGTTGTGCATAGCGGGTAAAAAATATGTAAATAAGAAGCTTGATGGATTATATTTTAAATCAGGGTACTTCCAAGGTCAGTGCAGAGTGAAAATACATTGTTTAATCATCTGTTCTGCCCTGGATTGAACACGGTAGGCAACAGTGCCCCTGGTTTAGGCGTCGTGTCCTCATCAGGACTCTGAGGCAGCAGCAGCTAAAGGGTTTGAACTGCCATCCCTGGCTTAGGCATCGTGTCCTCATCAGGACTCTGAGGCGGCAGCAGCAGCTAAAGGGTTTGAACTGCCAGCTCCGGTTAGGAAGACAGACACACCCTTTCAAAAGGGTCTCAACAATGGGAGTGGTTGAATTTAATGCAAGGAGACCGGTATTTTCACTTGCTTTTTCTTCTTGTTTTGGACCAGGCAGAAATACCTGAACAAACAATCCTTTTCGGTAATATTTTAATCTTATCTTTCTACTCAGAAATTCAGAGGGGAAGAAAAGGGACAGAAAAAGCAAACAATCTTTTTAAACCTTAGCTGAAGGGTGGTTTCAGTCAAAGAAACCTTTCATTACATTTAAAAAGCTCTCCAACAATAACACGTATTCTAATGTTATAATGAGCACCACCAGCAGTCATCGTCATCACCAAAATGCACTGAAATTAACTGCCTTTTCATCAAGTTCAGGTATCTCATTTCATCATTCATAAATGTTCATTTTGTACAGGTAGAATTCCTTCCTTAGCATCGGATTAACTTCACACTTGGTTGTTGGGTCTCATCCTAGTTCCACTTGCAGAGGCTGGGGACTGTTTCATGGCTTTGGAGTGGGGAGGCTTGAAAGTCTCATGGGAAGAGCAAGTCATTTATCTTGAAATGACCTATTGCAAACAAATGGGTCACACACTCAGCCTTGTGGTGAGATTTCTGCTTTGCGAGCGTTTTGCAAGAAGTGTCAGAAGCATCAAAACAATTTACATTTTTCTACGTGTTGCCGCAAGCTTTTGAAACTCATGAAATGTTTCAAACTCATTAATTGTCAATCAACTGTTTCAAAACGAACCCAAGCTAAAAGCAGAACCAAAGAAGCTGAACTGGAAAAAAGGTTTTGAGAGAGGGACAGCTGAGACCATCTTCTTTTCCTCAAGTGAAACATTTACAGACTTCAAAGTTTCTAAAGATGTGAGACCAGTTTTCCTCCCAGCCATTAGAATGTCTGTGTGTCTATCGTCTGTCAGCATCTCTGGGCGTTTCTACCCCATAGGAAAAACAAGATTTCTGAATTGAACCAGGTTGTGATTTGCAGGTTCCCTGTACAGAAGACAAAGACAATAATTTATACTTCCAGCTTTAATCTGTTGCTTTTGGGACGCTCCTGTCCATCTCTAGAGTGGTGTTGTGAAGGATGACCGAGGAAAAACGTACTCAGTTTTGCAGCCTTGGGGCATTTGATGCAGGTCTAATGCATCATTTCAGGCACTAACGAGCGTGTCGGTTCCTGGTGGGAAGGAGGATGGATGTCCCTCCTGTGTGGGGACGTGAATGATGAGCAGGAGAGGGAGCCTCCCAGCCTGTGCTCTGGTGAGCCATGAGCAGAGCAGAGTAAAGCCAAGTTTGCTGTCTTCCCAAGAAGATAAACCTGTGCAGCTGAAGTCAAATCCATCATTGCCACATTTGACAAAATAAGGTCACAATAATTATCTTTAAGGGGAAAAACAAACGGCTGAAAACAACCTCTCGCTTTACCTCATAGGTCTACATTCTGAGCTTCATCCTTTTTGTATCTCTCTTTTTAAGGTTTCAGATTTTACTTCCCCTCCACCATGAGAGTTATATTTGCTTCTCCTCTGAAATTTGGCTCAAATAATTATTTTTTCCAGATTGACATGACCTTATTATAAGGAAATCCTTACCAGGTTTGTTTCCTTTCCTGTTGCACATTTGATTTCTGAGGGTTGGGGTTTTTTTTTCACCTGCTCTCCAGTTTTGTGCTGGATATCTTCCAAACATAATCCCATACTGCTGAATTTGTCGTTCTTCTCTTGCAGTCCTCTCAGACTCCTTTCTCTCCATCTCTTTCCTTTTTCTCCTGGCCTTTCTTGTCCGTTATGAGCAGATTGCAAATCTGAAACTCCGTTTATTTGCATACGTCATTAAGGTTTCTCCTAACCACAGATATTGCAACCAAATGCAGGTCTCTGCCACTTTAGTGAACTAACTTCACTAACTTTTTGAATGGAAATGTAGCAGGGGGGTGTCAGCTCCAGGATGCCCTGAATTGACCGGATTGTTGCATCGTTTTCTTCATTTTTTTTCCCCAAATGTAATTTCTAGCCAATAACTTGAGTAATTGTTCTTCATGAATCATGCAAGTGGCCACGATTTCTTCAACGGCAGCTTGGATTACAGTAATGTAAAATGTGCACAACCTGAACACTGATTTTTCACCCAGAATTTTTTTTTTCCTTAAGTCACTTCTAAAAATAGGAAAGTCATTCATCTTGGGGAGAATAATGGCCTATAAAAATGTAAAGTAATTTCTTCATATTTATGAATCCTTTCCCTTCCGCCCATTATGAATACCCCTCTTAATGAATGCTCTTTCTCCTTCATGAAGGTATTATGAGCAATTATGTCCTCTGGTTTTAATGTTCTGATAATGTAATCCAATGGGCTATACTTTATCCCCAGGTTATTGACAACCCACACTCCTGAGAAGAGCTAAATAGATTTTAGTTCCGCAGAGGATATATTGGCCCTGACTGCCTCAGACTCCGAGTGACCATGGGGTCTTCTTTAGACCATTATGTATATGCACAAACTTGTAATTACAGCAGAGGAGAGCTCAAAGACGTTATATGGACCCCAAATGCTCTCTGTGGTGCAGAACTTTCTGTTCTGGTCACGTACAGGTTGGTTATTTATGACCTGCTGTCCATTTAGACTTGCTTTGCTTTTCTGTTCCTGTTTGGCAGCACAAAGATGGCTTAAGAAGTGAATGAAAATTAAAAAGGACTTAATGAAAATGAAATTCAGGCCCTGAACACTGATATAAAAGGAGTATTAATCCCTCCTCAGACTTGTACCTGGAATGAGGTACAATTATGAATAGAAAGATCATTTCAAGTTATGACAGATTTGATGAAAGAACTTTCACTGCTGTCAGAAGGAAAGTTATTATGCTGCTGCTAATAAGTATTCATCGGGTTTCCAGGGAGCTGGATTACACCAAGTAATGAAAGGTGTGAATGACGGTTCTTTTGGGGCAGGTAAGAACTAGAAGAAAGCATCTCCCAAGAATGCCGGTACAATCCAAGTACCTTGCCCCGTACTGACACTTTTTTCTTTTTTTTTTTTCATATTTTCTCAACTGATCCATTTTGTGCCCAGTGAAGCTTTTGTAGAGCTCCAAGGCAGAATTCCCTCTCTCCCCCTGCAGACGGGGCCTGTGTTTTCATTTCTGAAAGCCCAGGCCATCTCGCTGCTACCTTCCCAAACTATTCCAGGAATTAAAGCTGGTAGAAGAGGAGCTGTAAAAGCTGTTCCCAGCCTGAGGTCAACAAGAGTCCATCTAACTAATTGGACTTTGGATAAGGACCAAAAGGCATCAGTCCAAAATCTGTCTTGTATGAAACACCACTGCAATCAGCAGAATGACACTAATTATACATGGTATGAGGAGGCAGTTGCCTGTCCCCGGCTCCCTAGGAAGGGGGCCAACGGGGAGCTAGAGAAAACTCATCTCCTTTGCCCCACCTGAAACATTTTCTCTCTGTTCATCTCACTCAGTATTCAGGGGCTTCGGAGCTCTCCAGTAACAGATGAAAAACGTAACAGATGATCTCAAAAACTAATGTTTGTGCAGAGCAAATCCCAGTACAGTCTGTTTGTTGCAGCTATTTGGGTTTCCTTTCTGCATAATGGAAAATAAAAATGGGAAGTGTACACAGAAATTCTGCTAGGAACAGCACACGGATATGGTCAAAGCCAGGCAGCGAGTCTGCCTTGAGCAGAGCTTGCTATGTCAGCTTTAAGCAGCTCAGCCTTAACTTCTGACCTCTGCAGGCTTTGTTTGGTTTTTTTTTTCCTTTTGTTTACCTGGTGTCTCTTGTCAGATATTTCAACTGTAGGTAATGAGAGACAGGGATTGCCTTTTCCGTTGCTTGTAAACAGTACGCAGTGGGGCACCCTTCCTACCTGGAGTCTCCTGGTGCCATTACAAGATAAGCTAATAATTAATCAGAAGAAATGCACCTTGCGGTAACATTAACAGATGGCCCATCAGAAGCTCTGACTTGAATCACCATGTTAATCATTTCTGTTCCTTTGCTCAGTCCAGCTGGCTCCACTGAAGATGAGCGAGATGAAGATGTTACTTCTGCTTTTGATGTCCACTGTGAACGTCAGCGCCGTGCTGGAAAAGGGTCTGCCGAGACGGGAACCACGGCGCCTCTCGTGTGTGCGGTGCTGTGGGCCATCAGAGCAGCCCATCTCCATCATCTCCTCGCGATACACAAGGATGAGCAGTGACCCTGCCTATTCGGTACCCAAAGTCCAGCCCACTATAGATATCACCATCCTCAAAGGTGGGTAAAGCTGACTACCACGACAACAACTTTTGTCTTACTTGCTGACCCTCATTTTGCAAGCTGTGCTCCTCCCTACACCAAGAAACTCATCTACTTTAATTACCAAAAAGAAGGTCAAGGGGTGACTTGGTACAGGCTGTAAATGTGTGCAAGTGAGAAGAGTTGACAAAAGGCTCCAATCCATCAAAAAACCGAATCATTGGAAGCTCGAGTTAGGTCACACCAAAAATGAGATGCAAATGTTATCACAGAATTGCTAAATGGTAGAGTTAGAAAGCAGGAAAAACTCTCAGTCCCTTTTTCCATTTCACATTTTTTGTCTCCATAAGGCAGGCAAACAAAAATTAAGCAAATAATACAGGAGACGTACCAGGGAGTCCTGCAGAGCAGATGAACCCAACCACCTCTCCCAGGCCCAAAGCAGACCTTAGCAGAATCAATAACTTTTCTTGCCCTAACCTCTGCACGGAGGTGCTGGGTTCATGACTACTGGATCCACGTAACCACTCCAGTGAGGTCATGGAGTTTCATTATTGATCATTGCCACCACAAGGTCAGTGGGGCCAAGCTTTCAGCTGGGATTTTTAGCCTTCTGAGAATTAGGAGGGTGCTGGTGTCTGACCAATGCTTCCAGATATCTGTGCTGGGAAAACAGCATTTTAGCAGCTGCTTTCCTCCTTGTCTCCATCAAGGTTGCGTCTGCAGGTTGGGCTTCGCATGTTTGTGTTTGACAAGGTTTTCCTTTATGCCTGCAGGTGAGAAAGGTGAAATGGGAGAGAAAGGGTACCCTGGACCAGTTGGAAAGGAAGGAGAAAGAGGGCTACGTGGCTTTAATGGACGGAAGGGACAGAAAGGCCAGCCTGGCCCGCAAGGCCATTCCTGCAAGCAGCTCTATGCTGCTTTCTCGGTGGGTCGGAGAAAACCCCTTCATAGCTCGGACTACTTCCAGCACGTCACTTTTGACACTGAGTTTGTGAACCTCTACAAGCACTTCAACATGTTCTCGGGGAAGTTCTTCTGCTATGTGGCAGGAATCTACTACTTCAGCCTCAACGTCCACACCTGGAACTTCAAAGAGACCTACCTGCACTTGATGAAGAATGAGAAAGAGGTAGCCATCCTCTATGCCCAGCCCAGTGATCGGAGCATCATGCAGAGCCAGAGCCTGATGCTGGACCTGCAGGAAGGAGAGGAGGTCTGGGTAAGGATGTTCAAGCGGGAGCGAGAAAATGCCATTTATAGTGAGGAGTCTGATGTTTACATCATCTTCAATGGCCATTTAATCAAGCCAGCCATAGAGTAGCCATTCATCAGCTTTAGGCTCAAAGCTTTGGTAGATACATTAGTGTCTTCCCTCTTAGAAATGCATATGTCTAGCTCCACTAGGAAGGATTACAGGCCTCCAGGCCTGCTGACAGGGTTGTCTGTCCATGCCAAGGACACCTGTGTGGATGGAGGTGACTGTGCTTCAAGGTGATGCAAGCTACACAAGTACTGAGAAGGCTTCAGCCCTTAGGTGCCCTGGAGAAGAACACAAAAGGCCCCAGTTTTGCAGCCACATATAGATCCCCAGTAACATCTCTGAAGAGCTTACCAGTTGGTAGCAAAAATCTAACCTCTTTGCTTTGCTTTAGAGAAGATGTTTTAATTGTATCTAAGGGTCATCTTCAGCTACCAGTGACCTGGGTGCTAGTTAAGGAATGTCATTACTCCTACAACAACGCTTGGCAATCTTTGCAGTGTGCAGTGCTGCTAATAAGAGCCCACACTCTCCAGCACCTACACCAGGTCTGCTCCACTCAGGTAGGCAAGAACGCACCAGTCTTAAGAACAATATTTTGCACAGTACATTTACCCTAAATTACGTTTTTGTTCCATTTCATGTAATATAACATTCTGAGAGCAAAATGTTAGAGTTAGATAAATAGCAGCACATCAATCCGCCAAAGCTTTTCCAGAGGCACAGAGTTTTAAGTACAGCTGTAGCCATGTGCCTTAACTTCACGAGACTCCTGTACTGCTAGCAATACTTATCACATAAGAACATCCAACATGGCTGGGAATGCGTGTGTTTCCAATTTTAAGGAAAATGGTGGGTCCTGCCATAGGGTCCCATTTCAGAGTGCTCATTGCTGAGCTGGAATTTGAGGCCATGCTCACATCTGAAAATTACCATCCTATAGCGCCCTCATTTCTGGAAAATGGAGAAGAAAACTGGAAAGAAAAAAGGTGTTTTACTACATGCGGTGATATTTTAGGGGATTTGGTTTCTTTTTCCTAAAGTATTACTGACACAACAGTGGAAAGGTACAAACAGCAGGAAGAAACATCATTTTTCCCAGTTCCTTCTTGCCCATTCCCCCAGTATCTTGTTTGCATCCTGAGCCATTTGTATGAAGGCTACATGTAAAGTTCTTGCTTGGCAAACTGCTTCAGTGCTGTACCTCACCTGTCCACAGATGTCTGGAAAAGTAGCTGAAATAAAGATACTGCTTTGAGTACCCTGGTTTTGTTTGTCTTATCTCCATACACCTTTTCACAGTACAGGGCTGAAAGCACTAGACTGAACATCCAGTTCCATATAACAGTCTCAGGTGGCAATTTTAGTTACTTTAATACCAAAGGGCCCCAGAAATGAGAGTAGACTGATACCAACTCCTCCCCTTGCAGACCAGTAAACAGCCATCATCAAGTATCAGGATGGAGAGACAGAGAAGTTAATGACCCCTTGCTGTAAAATAAATAGCAGACCTTTGAGATCTCACAATGTTCATGAAGACAGGAACTTTTAAGTAGCCTATCTGCCATGTAAATGCATGATGAAAATGGGTCTACAAGCCTGTACATCACATCTGCTCCTGCTCCCAACACAGCCTGCAACCCTGAAAAGGAAAAGTGGGAAACTCACATAGCTTTTAAAAATAACTCCCAGGGGCATTTTATGCAAATCCTCCACTGACCTGCTCTCAGCTGTCCCAGCTGCTTTGGTCAGGCCATTGCACAGCATTTTCCTTCCCACCTTCCTTCTCAAAAAGCATCGTAATCAGCTGCTTCCATTACGATGATGGTAAAAGCCCTAATGGCTGCGTTGCTTATTTGCAACACACCACTTAGCACTGAGAGCTCTAACGGGGAGATGCCAGCCCTGAGAAAACACACGCACAAGCAGAAACCTTTCCACTGCACTGGAGTCAGTGAAGGCATTTGCAAACTGTTTTTCCCAGCCATGTACCACATTTGAGAGCTCAAAATCTTTCTTTTTCTTCCCCCCCCGACTTCCTTTGTCCCTGGTTTGGAATCATTCCCAACCCAGACCTTGATTTTGCAGCTGCAGAAAGTCATACTCTGGGCGCAGGGTACCACAAGCAAAGGACCACGCGAGATGCCTGTGGTGGAGCAGGGTTTATTCGCTGAGGCTGATGCGGTCCAGGGGCTGTCTAACATTCCTCACATATCGAGCAGTTTCACCACAGCTTCAGCTCGCTCCCGTCTGCGGTTTGCTGCATTGACTATAATTAAAAAGAAAAAAAAAAATGATCCAGCCTTCTTAAAATGTCATGCCCAGCTGGAGTTATTGACAGTGCTTAATCCAGCGCTGGAAAAAAACACATCCAGAATGTGTTTATGTTCAATCCTCACTGATTTTGGAGAAGTTACTTTCTACCAGGAAGCAAGCAAAAATCCATCCCCCTATATCACTATATATGCATAGCTCCGTAACACCGGACACGCAGTCAGAGATAGTCTGATTATTGAAACAACAGAACACGTTCAAAATGCTCATGACTGATATGCAAGTGGCATAAGCAGGTAAATCATTAAAGCCGCATTGGTTTCAGGTGCAGAATAACCTTTCAAATAATAAAAAAGGTTATTGAGCTGCCTACATTATTCAAATCAGTCATTTATAGCATCAAAGAATGAGAAGTCTCAACCTTCTGAGTCCTTTGGGGGGGAAAAAAGCTGCAATATCTAAAAAGTATAAAGACATTCGTCCTGCCACCTTTCAAATGCATCCATCAGTTTTTTCCAACTTCAAGGGCTGGGACAAGCATCCCTGTTTAGAGAAGTTTAATGAGCCAAATCCAAAGCACAAATATTTGAGATCTGCTCATCAACATACAGGCAGCTTGCCAGGGCCTCTCTTATAGGAACAGAATTTAAATCCCTTTTTTCCAGCAATATGTGGCTTGGAGAACTAAACTTTGAAAAAGCTTTTTAAGTTCTCTTTTGAAGAGAAAAAAACCAGAGGATTTAAGTGCTGAAATCTAAATCAAAAGGAAAAAACTTAAGTTGTATTTATTTTTTCAATTATTTCCCTGAATTGGCACTTTGCATTTTATGCTTTGAAATAAGTCATCAGGGATCTGTCAGAATATTTTTTTCCAATTCCTTCAGTGAACAGTATTAAACAGAAATGACAAAACTGCCTCAGCTGCCATAAATCCCAGTGCATTTTATTGAGAAACATTAGCTCTCCTGTAGGTCTCATCCCAGGATCCTCATGGAAGATGATGCCCCACAAGGTACAAGGCACCAATAAACTGATTTGCCAAAATAACCTTCCCTGTTCTTTGGGCAGGGCCAGAAATAGGGGAAGCAGAGGAACCCGTTTAGATCATATCCTAGGAGCTGTAAAGGGAGAATAGGAGCCCTCAATAACAGAAAGATTATGGAAAACATCAGATGAGAAGCACCTACCCCCAAAAAAATCTCCTTTGGTTGGCAAAGAAAGGTTAAAACAGACTGTAATACAACATACCCTTTGTTTTCTGACTGCAAATCTGTATGAGATTTACACTTAGTAGCCCAAATTTTGGTAATAGAGAGGAGATAAACTCATCTAAAATCCTCTTTCACTTCTATAGCATCAGAGCCCCAGAAGAGCACCTCGCAATGAGTGTGCTGGGACAGCATCTGTCCTTGTCCCAGAAAAGGTGATGAATGGAAGAGAGCAAGCAAACGACCTGCCTGTATCCACTGGGGGTAGGGCAAGATTTATGTTCAATATAAGGAAAAAACACTTCAAGTAAAAGGAGAATGAGACTCTGCAAGTGGCTGAAGCATGAAAGACAAGCTCTCCATCCCAGGAAGCCTTCAATGGCATCCTCGGATCTGCCAGGACCGATAAGGGCAGCTCTGGCTTAGAGCAGAGGAATGCACCACAGAGCTGCACGCTCCCCCTTTAACCTTCTTTTCCTGTAAAGTTTCAGCTTTTTTTTTTCCATTCAAAAAAAGCCTGAGAAAGCCACACAAAACACTTCCAACTAAAAAAACCCATATGAAGAAGCTGAGCAAGCCCTGCTTTCACATTGCTTTAAGTATGCTTCAGCTGCAGTTTCCAGTGCCACAGATGCACACATAGGAAACCCTGCAGCACAGCTCAGTAATTCCTAGGCATCTATCCGCCCCATTGAACCCTGCTCTTAAATCTGTCTTCTGACTTCCAAATGTGCTCATTCACTACTCTTCCTTACATGATTGCATTAAACATAGCATTGCATTATGAGTTGCAAGATTTATGCAGAATCCTTACTTAGCTGTATAGTTGCTCTATAACTGGCTTTTGCTCATTTTTCTTCTGTTGTTACTCCTGTAGGTATAAAAACAGAAAAAAAAATCCTTGTACTTACAGGCTTAACCTAAAAACACCACTTCTCTAAGTTCAAACACAGAAGCATCTGCCTTCTAACGGAGTTTGACCCTCTTTTCTCTAGAAGCTTAAAAATAGAACAGATTTTCCTTGCCCCCCCCCCCCTTTCCTTTTCCTGAAGCAGAATTTATGGGTGGTGCTTGAACTTCTCTTTATATGGAGAAGCAGCAAATTACTTGGGAGCCCACCTGAGTCTGCCTTAACAAGTTCAGGGTCTTTATAAGGCAGCAGTAAAGCCTGGGACACCTTTTAGATCCACTGGGAGAGGTGAGTTTCATGTAGGGTTTAATCAGTGAGGTGCTTAGGAAAAATTATAAATACTTTTGTATTTTTCCTCAATTTTTAATAGAAGATTAGAAAAGGCACTGTATTTCCTAGTGCTCTGAATGCACTTATGCCTTCTCTGTTGCCTGTGGTGAATTGCAGCAGTACTGAGTGCGAGGGTGGGGTTACAAAGACCCTTCTTGGGTCCTATTGCTGGTCCTGCAACTTTTTCACTGACCTAGCAGAAGACTTTGCTTTTAAAGAATTTAATGCCTTTTCATGAAGTCTTTAAATAATGCTGTAACTACTCAGAAGTACTTTCTTGAAAGAGGTGTTAAAGGGCTTATAATCCTGGCTGTGACAAACAACCAGTGCTCAGGCTAATAGCTCTCACAGTGCTATTGGAGCTCATTATACCTGGCAGAGCTGGTGACTGGGCTGGTGCTTAGTGCTCTGGATGCCAAATGGCATAAAGGAAACTAAAGCCTCTGTGTGCTCCCTGTTTTCTCTCCTAATCATTCTGTTCTTGTACGCCTGTTCCTGGTCAAACTCTGCTGTTCTGTACTGTTGGCCCTGTCTAAGTTGACTAAAGTTCTGAACTAGTTCATTGATTCTCTGAGACTGCTCTTGTGAGCTGCAAAACAAGGCATGGCCTTTAAGAGAGCCCTTCTTATAGCACTTTCTAATTCTCAATAATTAAAGCAGCAGGTGAGGACTAAGTCTTCATCTTGCTGTAGGTTTAGCAGTGAGCCTGAAGGACAGTTAATTGCTTTGCTTGTGCCTCTATGATGGGAATGAGTAGTCAAAGCCAGGTGAGGAGGCCCTGAGAGGACTCATACTATGTCTGCCCCCCAACTAAAACAATCTGGCTCCTGTACTGTCTCCTGCTCACCATGGGCTTGTGATATCCTGGAGAGAGGATGTGCTTGTCCTGCTGCTGCTACCTGCTTTGCAGCACCTCTGTGAGCCAGGGTTGGGGTTGCTAAGCCTGAAATCTTGCTCTCTGCTCAGTCTTTCAACCGTACTCTTCAAAGATAGTCCAATTCCTTGATTTGATTTCAGCAATAAGCCATTCCTTAGTAACTGCTGTAATCACAGTTCTTTTCTGGCTCATCATAAGCTTAGTAAGGACTGTGAGCTAGAGTGAATCAGGTCTTTTCCAGCCAAACAAGACTGGTAAAATTCCTGTTCTGCCAACTTTCACTCCAAATGTTAAATTCCCCTAAACTCTAGCTCTTTGTGTGTTTTTTTTTTCCTGCCTGTAAATAGCCAGAATGGGACCTGACAGCCAACATGCTTCTCCTCACCAGCAGTTTAGTGTTGCTCCTTTGATCCCATGTTGGGTACGTTGCAGTTGGTTGGGCTGTGCAGGAACTAGGTATTTTGCTCTGTGCGTGTGCCAGGCACTTTTAAAAGTGCTGAAACCTCTCTTCAGGTAGCTAAGTCTTAAAAGCAGTGAGTACATAAAAACTAAAACATGAAAAATTCTTCCTGGGAGTGTCTGGGGATGTGTGAGAATGTCTGTG